GATGCAATGCTACATTTCTCCAAATCTGATGAAGAAACAAACTCCACTTCATCTTGCAAGTATGCATCCAATACAGTGAATAAGCAACCTCCCTTTCTCTCCTTTGAGCTTGTTAAACCGGTCTAATGTACCTTCCCCCTCCTCTATCCATTCTCACACTGCGCTAAACCTGAGGAATTAAGCACTGCTTACTCACCGTTCTGATTCATGCCATCTTTGTTTGTTAAACCATAAACAAGTCTGTACCCTGTGTTCATTTGTAGGGCTGAGTCTTGGTAAAACTTTCTTTAATTCTAAACTACATGTTATTAGTTGAATTGAAATGCTGTCGGCTCATCATCTTTCTCGTGTCATTTGTTGTAGTTTTATGGGAACTGTGGTTGTGAACACACTGACATGAGTAGAGAGAAAGTGGAGCAGTGGAAGGGTGTGGTGCGTGAGATTCATGGAAAGACACAGACTCGCTGCCAAGACTGTGTTCAACTGTGTGGATGTTTGCCAGCAGGACAAATAGAGCGTTCAGGGCTTGAACAGTGACTTAGCATTAAAGCATCTGAGCTAAACGACAAGGGGTCTTTTTAAATGTTGCTTCAGGTCTTCAGCAATGATTTTCTGGTGGGTTTCTTTGTTTTCATTTCGTACGCTGTTTGTTTTGTGCACACCAGCTCTTTTTGAACGTCTCCTGCTCATCTCAGGATAAGAATGGATGTCAGACGCTCATGGCAAATCTCCAGCCATCTCCCATAAAACATCCAGCAGAGTAAATGAGCGCTTTACAGAGGACTCATAAATCACATGAATAGTTACAGCAATGCATATGAAATATATTCTCATGTAGAAAGGCCCAGGTTCTTTCTTTCTTTCTATCTATCTAATTCAATTGAGTACATTTCCCAAATAATAATTTCTCAATGAATAAATAACTAAAATTCTCATTATTGTTATATGAGAATTGGTATATTATCTGTTTGTTGCTGCCGTGTGTTTTGAGTTTGAGCTCCGTCAAGTT